CTCGTTTTCTATCTGTGGGATCATCAATTGGCTGATATATTTGGGTAGAAAAAAAAAAAACACTCCTTTTCATTTTTGTGGTAGCGAGCACTCTGCATATTGGCATGTCCTTGGCAGCAAAGAATTCTGTTTGATATAGCGAGCACCCAATGTTTGTCATTTTATTCGGCTCCTCTCCACCGTTTTTTTTTCCTTCTCTCTTTTTCACGCAATTGTTTCTCTTACTTGCTAGGCCATCTCTCCAGCCAAGTTGCCTCAGATATTCAAGAATGCACTATCAGCTCCAATTCTAATAGACACTGTCAAGTGCGTGGCTACCTTTTTCACGTAAGTTAAGAATTTCTAACTTGTCCTGGGGGAACATTTAGAAAATGATTTCAAACATCAATGGTTAACAGACCATTCTGGCCATTCAATTTGCAGCGAAGAGATGGCTTTGGCTATCAGTTTCTTAGAAAATTTAGCCAAGGTCCCAAGATTCAGCATACTCATGATGTGTCTTCCATCCAATGAAAAGTCTGGTAAGTTGTAGAAACCCTTCCCTCTTCGCACCTTCTTGCATGGTAACCTTCATTTCATATAACTTTTTCCCCATATCTCTAACCTTAGTGATTAATAGTTTAGCATCTACATTTGCAACCAAATTTATTAGGATAGAAAATGTTGGTTACGATTGATTTGGTGTATTGCACTTGCACACGTCTCTAAACATCATAGACGTTCACTCTGAAGCAGCCTGCCTTCTGGTTATTGTTACTCGCCCGATGATATATGTCAATTTGATAGGCTTTTCATATTCTTTTGTCTCTCTTGGTGGATTCGTTTCTTTTGCGTTTGCTCTTCTTTATTTTATTTTGGATAATCGTTTTTCTCAAAAAAGATGAAAGAAAAAAAAAAAAAAGATAATGAAATTCCCATGTGGGACAAGAATGCTTCATACTGAGTATGGGCAGTAAACTTCTTGGCTCATGTTTGAGCTGTGAATTATGATCACCGCCTTGTTTTGTTATTGTCTGGTATCCTGTCTTTAAGAAATCATTTCATTAATGCCTCGAATTTTTTTTTAATATGAAACAATCTCATTGTTATCTTGAAGAAGTAATCTAGTGACTGGATTTACATGTCTTGAGTTATAGCCTGTACCTCTATTGTTAAAACCAATCTTAAAAGGTGAGGAGTTGAATGCAAAAGGCTTTAATTCATATTTTATTGGATACATTTGTTTAGAAACTTGAATGTTACAGAGCCTTCTAATACTCGGCCTATCGACGGTGAGGTCCGAGACATTAATTTTGATAGGAACTGAAGTATATCGACACAGCCCCCAAAATAATCGGAAATTTGTGAGCTTATCATGGTGAGTGTTTTATATATTTGTATTCTAACTTTAAAGCCATGTGAAACAGATCTCCTCAAGATTTGGGATGAAGTATTTTGTGATGAAGCTGTTCCAATTGAGTACGCAGAAATGCTCGACAGCTTGCGTTCAAAGTATTTCCTTAAATTATGACAAACGTTGCTTGAATGAGAAGCACTTGCCTTTCTTAAAGTCAACCCTGCTGCTTATCTTCAGTGTTAAGTATCCACTTACTTGCTCCTCTGTTTTTGGGGTCACAGTTTGACAATTGGCATGTTAACATATGTGACTAAAAAAATGTCCCATTTCTTGAGCAATCTACCTGTCAATTCTCTTCTATAACCTTTTGAATTTACTCGAAAATTATCAGAATTGGCTCGGACTTAGAATTCTCGACAACATTTCTGAACCTCGACAGGTAAAAGTTTACATAACAAGTAGAATAAGGTATCTGGATTTCTAGAACTGGTATATTACTTCCGATATTAATATCTTGTGAGTTATCTCAACAATTGAATGTAGTTGGGTCAGATGATTGTCTTCAAGTTGACCCGAACACTTGTAGATAGAAAAAAAATATATATAAGATAACTGGTTTCTAGAAATGGTATATGGAATGCGGGTTGTCTTCGGGTGTATGCAAGTTGACCTGAACACTTGTAGATAGAAAAATGATATAAGATAACTTGGTTTCTAGAAATGGTATATGGAATGCGGGTTGTCTTCTGGTGTATGCGAGTTGACCCGAACACTTATAGATCGAAAAAGGACAAAAGATAACTGGTTTCTAGAAATGGTATATGGATCGTGGTTTGTCTTCAGGTGTATGCAAGTTGACCCGAACACTTGTAGATAGAAAAAGGATATAAGATAACTTGGTTTCTAGAAATGGTATATGGAACGCGGGTTGTCTTCAAGTGTATGTAAGTTGACCCGAACACTTGTAGATAGAAAAAAATATAAAATAACTTATTTCTAGAAATGGCAAGTGCACTGTCACATGGAGGATGATAATTGAATGGTCCTTTCCATTCAACTTTGTAGAGGGCATTCCCAACTTGAAAGTCTTTATTTGATTATGTAGGATTTGCACCTTAAGATTTGATGATGCATCGTACTCAAGTTGGGGTCCAGAGTTGTAAATGGCTTTATGAAAGTCATATGCCGCTTTGCAGTTTATGATACATAGGTGCTCACGTTGCTGTCGATCATCCTTTTGCCCGATATGATTTTATGGTATTGATTGGCGTCGACCCTCTTTCTATTGGATCTTTTTTTGTCCGTGTAAATTTAATGTTTTAAGACTCTTTACTCGTGGTAGGTTTGAACCTCTTTGTTACATGGGTGCCCACATTGCTGTCGAGCATCCTTTTGCTCGGTATGATTTTTTGAGTACTTATTGGCGTCGACCCTCTTTCTATTGGATCTTTTTTCATCTGTGTAAATTTAATGTTGTAAGACTCTTTACTCGTGGTAGGTTTGAACCTCTTTGTTACATGGGTGCCCACATTGTTGTCGATCCTCCTTTTGCTCAATATGATTTTTTGAGTACTTCTTGGCTCGACCCTCTTTCTATTGGATCGTTTTTCGTCCGTGTAAATTTAATATTTTAAGACTCTTTACTCGGGTAGGTTTGAACCTCTTTGTTACATGCGGTGTAATGTTCTAGAAAAAAGTGATTATTTCAAAATTTAGAGACTAAAAGAGACTGAGCCGCCGAAGCTTGCTGGGTGGAGGGGTAATCTTTTGCAAGTAAAATAATTTTTCACTATAAATCTCGAACATCTGTGAACAGAATTTCATCAAATATATGAAAATCGGTATTTGATCATTGAGACGTACGAGCTGTACGCCTCGACAAACTGTTATAGTATACGTATTTTTCTGTAATTTTTCACTTTAAATCTCGAACATCTGAGTTTTATTAAATATCGAACTGCCTTGACAAACCTAGATAGTATACATATATTTTTTTGTAATTTTTAATTACGCAAAAGATTTTGACCAACAAGTTTTTTAAAAAATAGAAAAATAGTCGATTTCTCTAAAGTTTTTTTTTTAAAAAAAAAATCAATTCTCCATATCTTAGGCTATTTTATTGAGAGATTCCTTGCTTTGAAAACAACCATAGGTGGGGTCTCTTTCATAAATACATCTTTTTGTTTTATATGGTTTTTATTCACATTAAATTCCATTAACCCATGATTCAACTTTGGACAACTTATAATATCATTAATGCAATGGGGTTGGTCTCTAATGATTAATGCTCACAAACTTTTGCCGTAAAGTTACTCAAAATAGGCTCGATTTCTAGCCTAGTGATCAATCCCGATATAAAAGATATTCACGTAACAGAGAACGGGAAGCCCGTTATCCTTGTTACTTATTTAAATTTTCATATCTACAAAATTTTTCATAGTTAGGAACGAAAAAGAGAAACAAATGGGCCCCTGATCCGTGTAGACCAAGGGCGAACACTCATCGTTTACGCCATGGACTACCAAGGTATCTAATCCCGTTCGCTAGGACTAGTTGTAGAGTATAATCCCTGTCTCCGTCCCTGTTCCGTCAATGATTTAAGAAATCTCCTCACTCTTTCCAATCTCGACAAGTCTTTGTGGGCCCGTGTTAAAGGGACATCTCCAACTCTATTAAAGAAACGACTCTAACTATATATAGACTAATATTAACATAACTGATTTGATTACGATATTTTCTAATATGTGAATTCTCGCCCCCAAATCTTGAATAGTAATGTTGTATTTTTTTCAAATAAGAACAATATAACTCGATCGGACGGATCATAATGATCGAAAATATTTGAAAGGGATAAGCCATTTGATATATATATATATATATATATATATACACATGTTGAGAAGATTTGTCCTTTGTCTCTTGTCATTTCTTTACCTAAAAAGTTGATGCCTTTGAATGCAAATTTCCAAAGTAAACATAAAAGACAATTTTCTTCTTTAGTTATATTTTACAAGTTATTTACTCTATTTTATTCTAAATGTATATTTTTTTTAATTTCAAATTTCTACGAAAGTTCAGTTAAACGGCAATTTATGGAAAGGATTAGGCAATTTAAGAGAAGATCGACTAATCTTTTATACGAGACCTAATTCTTTCTCTAAATTTTTACAAACTAAAAAAATTGATTTTTTTGTTAACAAAGGGGTTAGTGGTATCGTGAACTAAGCTAACGTAATTTATCTGTATTCCTGACCAAGAAGTTAGTCGAGACTAAAAAACCCGAACAAGCCAATTAGCTCAAGATTATATTTCATTTCCTTCACTTTTCCCATTCCCTTGGGGTTTTTTTTGTCCCCTCAAGCATTTATGATGGATCATTAAATGCTATTTGAGTTAGCATGAGATAACTTCAAGTGTATTTAAACCAAAATTGAAGATTTTGATCCAAACCCTTCTTGTATCCCATCAAATTACAGTTTCTATTTCAGCCATAACCCACAAAAGCAGCTCCGTTGGAAACATCTTGATGGATTGTTCTTGGCAAAAAGCGTTTGAGAGTTGTCTATTTTGAATGAATCAAAAGCTTAAAAGGGTTGAGAGAGAACTGTAAAAGAAGTTCAAATTAAAGCGGTTTTTTAAACCAGGCGAGGCGACCCAATTTTCAAAAGGGAATCCGCCTAGTGTCCTTCTTAGCCTTTGCTCAACAGCAAAAAGTAGAGCAAAAACGGGTTAGTATTCCAATTTTTCTGACATTGAACCACCAATCAACTTTCTTCGATGAGAATTCGCTGACACTTTCACGTGCTTTCCTTCTCTTCTCAAAATTTATCTTTGTCCTTTTGCTCGATTCATGCGCTTTTTTCACTCTCTCTACTTGATTTCCCCATCTACGGCTTCCGTTTCCTCTGTTTCTTCCTCCATTTTTACCGTTTGATCGTTCATTTCCACTGTGATTTACTCACAACGGAGGAGCCTTCACTTCCCGGATCTGGGTTCTGGGTGTTGGCTTGGTACGTTTGTTCTTCACACTGTTCTTGTTTTTTCTCCTCTTCTCTGTTTGAATTTCTTCCATTTTGGGGTTTCTCATGTCGGTTTGAGCTTCTCTGTGAAATGGGTTTGTGTTGTTTTGCTGCAATGTCTTGTTATGTGGTCTTATAGTTCATCTTTTTAGCTTTTTCTAGGTGGGGTTCTCTTTGTTTCCTTTGGTGTTTGTTGTTTTTTGCACTTTGTCTTCAACTATAAGACGTTTTTGTTGATTTCAAATTTGTTCTTTAGGTTCTCACTTTCAACTTTACTGTTTTCACATGATATTTCAGACCATTTGACACTGTTTTGCTTAGTATTATGTTGGTGGAAGGCAGACTCAAGTTTTGTGTTCCTTTTGTTGCAGGAAATGGGTGTCATCTCCAGAAAAATCTTCCCAGCATGCGGGAATATGTGCATATGCTGCCCTGCTCTGAGGTCGAGGTCTCGGCAGCCAGTTAAGCGTTACAAGAAGTTGCTAGCTGACATATTTCCTAAATCTCTTGTAAGCATCCCTAGTTGTTGATACTGTAGGATCATTGATGTGTGAAATGGGCTATGCTTTGTTGATCTGTTTGTTTAAATTCTATGTTGTTCTACTTTGGTTGTGATAATGGAATTGAACAATGGATGACTTGATGGTTCTTTGTCTTTTGTCTATACTATAGCTGTTCGGGCTAGGTTAGTTTGTTATTCGTTAATGTGCAGGATTTCGAATGCTTCGTTGATGTTGTTAAGTTTGTTTTTGTACTTTGATTGTGTTGAAGGAGTTGGACCAACGGTGAGTCGATGGTCTTGTAGTGATTTGCCTTTCTTCTTAATGTGTGTGTGAGATCCCACGTCGGTTGGAGAGGGGAACGAAACATTACTTATAAGAGTGTGGAAATCTCTCTCTAGTAGACGCGTTTTAAAACCTTGAGGGAAAGCCCAAAGAGGACAATATATGCTAGTGGTGGGCTTGAGCTGTTACAAATGGTATTAGAGCTAGACACCGGGCTGTATGCCAGCGAGGATGCTGGCCCCAAAGGGGTGGATTGTGAGATCCCACATCGGTTGGAGAGGGGAACGAAACATTTCTTATAAGGGTGTGGAAATCTCTCCCTAGTAGACGCGTTTTAAAACCTCGAGGGAAAACCCCGAAAGGGAAATCCCAAAGAGGACAATATCTGCTAGCGGTGAGCTTGGGCTGTTACAGTGTGTGATCTATGGGAAAAGAACCACGTTGTCCGATTTCCTTTGGAGAAGATAAAACTCTGTATTTGTACACGAACTTAACAGTGAAATGAGTCTTCATTGAACAACTTGGCATGTTTTAGTTGTTAGCATAACATTAGGTTTAATATAGTTGATAGCCTTTCTTTTTTACCATCAGTTCTATGAATCAATAGTTGCATTGAATGAGCTTTGGTGGGGAAACCCTTTACAGGATGGCCCTCAAAGCGAGAGGAAAATCGTGAAGTTATGTGAATATGCTGCGAAAAATCCGTTCCGCATTCCGAAGGTATTCACGTTATATAACGTTTCATAATCTTTGAAGTAAACAAGTTTGATTAGTTCAGAAATATGTGTTTCATTTCTGAGGTACTAATGCTTCTCTTTATGGTACCTAGATTGTAAAATATCTTGAAGACAGATGCTGTAAAGAACTTCGATGTGAGCAAGTCAAATGCATTGCTATCATTGCAGATACATACAATAAGTTGCTTTCCCTTTGTAAGAACCAGATGTAAGTGATAACCTTTCATCTTTGCGGGTTGGAGTTGCGTATGGTTCATGAATTCTGCGTAGGTGGCTCCTTAGTTGTAACGGCCCAAGTCCACCGCTAGCAGATATTGTCTTCTTTGGGCTTTTCCTTTCGGGCTTCCTCTCAAGGTTTTTAAAATGCGTTTGCTAGGGACAGGTTTTTACACCCTTATAAAGGGTGTTTCATTCTCCTCCCCAAATGATGTGGGATCTCACAATCCACCCTCCTTCGGGGCCCAGCGTTCTTGCTGGCACACCGCCTCGTGTCCACCCCCTTCGGGGTTCAGCCTCCTCGCTGGCACATCGCTCGGTGTTTGACTCTGATACCATTTGTAACGGCCTAAGCCCACCGCTAACAGATATTGTCCTCTTTGGGCTTTTCCTTTCGAGCTTCCCCTCAAGGTTTTTAAAACGTGTCTGCTAAGGAGAGGTTTCCACACCCTTAAAAAGGGTATTTCATTCTCCTTCCCAACTGATGTGGATCTCACAATCCACCCGCCTTCGGGGCCCAGTGTCCCTATTGGCACACCGCCTCGTGTCCACCCTCCTTCAAGGTTCAACCTTCTCGCTGGTACATTGCCCGGTGTCTGGCTTTGATACCATTTGTAACGGCCCAAGCCCACCGCTAGCAGATATTGTCCTCTTTGGGATTTCCCTTTCGGGCTTCCCTTCTTAAAATGCGCCTGCTAGGGAGAGGTTTCCACACCCTTATAAAGGGTGTTCCGTTCTCCTCCCCAACCAATGTGAGATCTCACATTAGTCATACTTCTTAGTCATGGTTTTGGCTTTTGTTCTTAGACCCTATAAAGCTCTAGTTGCTTCGACTTGATAGTGTATTATACTTATTTTAGAACACTGTTTATTCATTTGGATATGACTCGGGGTTTTACAACCATTAATCGTCGACTCTTTTCAATTTTGAAGGGCATATTTTGCTGGTAGTCTGCTGAAGGTCATTGCTGAACTCTTAGACAACTCAAAGCACGTTGACTTGCTAATACTCGGGTGTCAAACCTTGACAAACTTCATACACAATCAGGTGATTCTAGTTCATATGGCCTAATTATCAAGGGAAGAAGAAGAACACTGATTGTAGCAAGCAGAACTTGAGTTATTTTTATTATCTATGTATGCTTCTGTTCTTGCTTGTGATGTATAGTTCGATCTCTGTAAATGATGCGAGACGAAATGAGTGAAGTAAGCACTCATTAAACGGGAATATTCTTCTAGCATACGATCGCATGCTTTTAGCCATTTTACGGTCAAAGTTGTTCCTACTTAAAGCTTCTTCTTCTTAGAACAAACATTTATCTTCTGATCTGTAGCGACCCCGGCCCCACCGCTAGCATATATTGTCCTCTTTGAGCTTTCCCTCAAGGCTTTAAAACGCGTCTGTTAGGGAAAGGTTTTCACACCCTTATAAAGGGTATTTTGTTTTCCTCCCCAACCAACGTGGAATATTACAGGATCACTATAACGTTTAGAAATTTAATTTCCTGTACTGTTTTCTTTTGTTAGCTTTTTTTTTTTTTTTTTTCTATCTCTAATTTCTTGTAGTTTTCATTTATGTCGGACAGGCAGACAGCACGTACATGCACAATGTCGAGAGCTTGGTACCGAAAGTATGTATGCTGGCATTGGAAAAAGGGGAAGACCAAAAAATGCTGCGCTTGAGGGCATCAAGTCTACAATGCATTTCTGCCATGGTTATACGATGCTTTCTTTTAATGCTTTGTTCTGTGGTTTATCCATCATTTCAAAAAAAAAAAAGTATTATCTGAATTTTTCATTTTTTTTAATACTAAGCTGGAACTTTTTCTTCTTAGCAATTTCTCATCCTCTTTTTTGCCAGGTCTGGTTCATGACCGAGTATTCACATATTTTTCTCGAGTTCGACGAGGTAAGTTATGTATGCCTCTCCTAATAGCTATGGTTAAGCGTTGCCCTTTGATTTTTCCCTCGAGTAATTTAAGTACACTTCATGCCTAGTAAGGTAGATGTAGCTCAAACTGTTAAGTTGAAACTAACCAAATTACATGCTAATAGCTCGTTTGTGAGATCCCACATCGGTTCGGGAGGAGAACGAAACATTCGTTATAAGGGTGTGGAAACCTCTCCCTTGCAGACATGTTTTAAAAACCTTGAGGGGAAGCCCAAAAGGGAAAGCCCAAAGAGGACAGTATCTGCTAGCGGTGGGCTTAGGTTGTTACGAATGGTATTAGAGCTAGACACCAGGCGGTGTGCTAGCGAGAACACTGGGTCCCCAAGGAGGTGGATTGTGAGATCCCACATCTGTTGGAAAGGGGAACGAAGCATTCTTTATAAGGGTGTGGAAACCTCTCCCTAGCAGATGCGGTTTAGAAACTTTGAGGGGAAGCCCCGAAAGGGAAAGTCCAAAAAAGACAATATCTGCTAGCGGTGGGCTTGAGCCGTTACATCATCGAGAAGGGACATGCTAACAGTAAACAAGTCTGCTAGCTAACCATCCATTACTAATAATAACAAATTGTGCTTTCTGTTATGAAGTCTTCATCTTATTCTAACATCATCAATACCATTGTTCTGTGCAAAATGCCTGGAATTATACTAATGCATCTAGAATAATTGAAAAGGCCATCATATTATCAGAAATCCTTCATGCTTAAACATTTTATTTTATTTTCGTAACATAAACGCTGTCAAAATGTCAGATTGTTCGTGTGACTCTTGAGAACTATGATCCTGCTCGTGATGGTAACTCCGATGATAACACAGAGCCACATCATAATTGGCTTAATGAAGTTGCTAGATCTGAAGGGAGATGTGGTGCAGTTGGTGGTGATGTTAATGGTTCATACGGAATCATCAGACCAAGACCGAATAAGAAGGATCCGGCTCTACTCACTCGGTATTTTCATCGGATCATATGCTCTAAAGTCTGTCATATGAGATTGTAGCTTATAATTGTTTTTCTTTTCTTCAGGGAAGAGAGCGAGTCTCCAAGAGTATGGTCTCAGATTTGCGTGCAACGAATGCTTGATTTGGCCAAGGAGAGTACAACAATGCGCCGAGTATTGGATCCAATGTTTATCTACTTCGATTCGGGAAGGCACTGGGTTCCACAGCAGGGCCTTGCTTTGATGGTTTTGTCTGATATGTTATACTTCATGGAGAGTTCAGGTGATTATCACTCCCTTTTGTATTAGACTTGGGATCGTTTGTGATATCCGCATCAGTTGGGGAGGAGAACGAAACACCCTTTATAAGGGTGTGGAAACCTCTCCCTAGCAGACGCGTTTTAAAAACCTCGAGGGGAAACTCGGAAGGGAAAGCACAAAGAGGACAATATTTGCTAGTGATGGGCTTGGGCCGTTACAAATGGTATCAGAGCCAAACACCGGGCGAAGTGCCAGCAAGGAGGTTGTTCCCCGAAGGTGGGGTAGGGGTGGATTTGGTGGGGTCCCACATCGATTGGAGAAATGAATGAGTGCTAGTGAGGACGTTGGGCCCTGAAGGGGGGTGGATGGTGATATCGCACATCAGTTGGGGAAGAGAACGAAACACCCTTTACAAGGATGTGGAGAAACCTCTCCCTAGCAGACGCGTTTTATAAAAACCTTGAGGGGAAACTCGAAAGGGAAAGCCCAAAGAGAACAATATTTGCTAGCTGTGGGCTTGGGCCATTACATCATTACTCGTTACTTGTGTTATAACGAAACATAGGAATTGGGGTGATATATACCTATATTTTGTTCTTCAGGTAACCAGCAGTCAATATTGGCTTCGGTAATACGCCATCTCGACCACAAAAACGTTTCACATGATCCTCAGCTGAAAACGTGTATCATTCAAGTTGCTTCAAATTTAGCTAGACAAATTAGGTCGGGAACCGTGCTGGCAGAAATCGGATCTGTCTCTGACTTGTGCAGGCATCTTAGGAAGAGTCTTCAAGTCACAGTTGAATCAGCTGGGCAGCAAGAACTGGATTTGAATATTTCACTTCAAAAGTCTATTGAAGATTGCTTACATGAAATTGGCAGAGGGGTATGGTTGAAACATTTATAGCATTGTTCCATATTTAACGTCGATGGTCGATGAACTTAATATGGTTTTTGTAGATCGGTGATGCGCGTCCTTTGTACGATCTGATGGCTATATCGCTCGAGAATTTGACTTCTGGAGCTGTTGCAAGAGCCACCATTGGGTCCTTGATGATTCTTGCTCACATGATCTCCTTGGTATCAGTTTCTTCAGACTCCCAACAGGTAGGAATGTTTCTACTGCTTCGAACTTTAGGAACATTCTCATATAATTAACCCGGATTAAAACCGAAACCCTTTGGAAATCCTGGTTGGACCGTTTGAAAAAAACTGAGCTGTAGTCGATAATTTTTCGACAATTTTGTGAGGAACGTTGAAACTCGACGATTTCGACGCTTACGATCGGCAGCTAGCACCAAATAATGGTTTTTCTCCCCGCTAGTTTTCGTTCGACCGACGTCGGGGTGTCATCGGTGGCTATTTGCTCGCGTTCTAAGACGTTGTCCTTGCACATTTTGTAGCCCTTTCTTTTTTATATGTTGATATCAAATTCTCACTCAATGCAGCTCTCACTAGTTATAGTACTTGTATATATAGGTGTTTCCAGAAGCTCTTCTTGTCCAAATCCTGAAGGCAATGTTGCATCCTGATACCGAAACACGCATCGGAGCTCATCAAATATTCTCCGTTCTTGTCGTTCCCAGTTCTAATTGCCACCTACAAGAAACTTCCTCGGTTCAATCTGCTACTCCTTACAAGCCAACGGCATGGCATTCCAATGCAGCGTCTGCGTCGACTTCTGCTTCCATTACTGCTCTACTCGATAAACTTCGACGAGAAAAGGATGGCCCGAGAGAAGAAAAAACTGGACATAATATTCAAACGAATCTAAAAGAAAATGGCTCTTTAGAAGAAGACTGGAAGCAGAGACGGAACCATCGAAATTTCGCTACATTTCACAAAATTCAATCGATCATTGACAGGAAAGCTGGATCTTCAAGTTCCACCGAAGCAGTAAGCCGACTCGTAACATAAGAAATTAGTAACTCGGGCCATAACCGAGTGATTTATTGAACTAAATATTTGGTTTTGTATTTCAGGAACCACGGATCATGAAGTTTAGTGAAGATCAATTATCACAATTGTTGTCTGCGTTCTGGATACAAGCCAATCTTCCAGATAATTCTCCCTCAAATATTGAAGCCATTGCTAATTCTTTTGTCTTGACACTAATCTCGGCACGCCTGAAGGTGAAATCTAGACACGATTAGATGACTTTAAATTTTCGAAAGATGAACGAAACTCTCGTTCCTGACACCATTCAAATGATGTTTTCGATATCTGAATAATGTTCATGGGATTTTCCAGCTTTCCTTTTTGATTCCTAAACCGTTCTTTACGACTGTACTTAACCGTGAAATTACTCGACATGTACGCCTGCAGAGCCAGCAGGACAATCTTATGATCCGATTCTTCCAGCTTCCACTGTCTCTGAGAAATGTATCTCTGGAGCCTTACCATGGTGATCAGAAAATTCTATATTCGTTTTTGCGATGATGACTCGATGAGCGATAGAAATGCGTTATCGATAATTCTCTTATTGTTTTGACAGGTACGTTACGCCCGTCGTCACAGAGGTCGGTGTTTATTTTGTCTATAGGCATGCTGCTGTTTGCTGCTAAGCTCTATCACATACCTCATTTGAATCATCTTCTGAAGTCATTAGTGGCTTATGATGTGAGTTCATCCTGTCTTATATCGAACATAGCTTCTACAAATGATATCTTAATTAAGACTTAGCATATTTTCATGTTTAGGTTGATCCATATCTGGTAATTAGTGAAGATCTTCACGTTTGTTTAAAGCCTGAGGTCGATCTGAGGGAATATGGATCCGTTACTGATAATGAGCTAGCTCGGTCCTATCTCTCTGACCTGCGCAACAAAGTATACGAAGCAGACAATGTCATTATCGATATTTTAGCACAAAACTTGTCGGGAATTACCCAGGTAACATGTTTCTAGTTGAAATGTATCTACGTTTTCGTTTAAATTCGCGTTCTGTTGCTCTAAATGTTCGTTTATGTTGGTTTAGCTGGATAAAAATGAGCTAGCTAAGCTGTTATTAGAGGCATTTACACCTGATGATCCTTACATGTATGGCCCACAATCAATGCTCGATTTTCGCAAAAATAAATCGGTTGCTCACTCGAAGGAATCCTTATCGTTCGATGGGGTATGATGATTCTTCTTTTAAGCTTTTACGCTCGTCCATTCTACTAGCGAAATCATATGTTCTTGGTCTGCAGGATCTTTCTAATTTACTGGTTGAGGATGAAGTGACGAGTGAAGCCTCTGTTGCGGATATTGCTCGGTTCATTCCTCGAGTACCTCCATCGCCTTCGGTATCTCACATAATGGGCATTAGTCAGCTTCTCGAATCGGTATCGTATACATTCCTTATGTCTATGTTGGAGGCTTAGTTTCGACTTGTTTATGAGAAATAATCCGAAAGCTTTCTGAGCTCTTCCCCGAACTCATGAATGTTTCATTTTCAGGCACTGGAGGTAGCCGGTCAGGTAGCTGGAACATCGGTTTCTACGTCGCCTCTTCCATACAACGCCATGGCAAGCCAATGTGAAGCTCTCGGCACCGGCACAAGGAAGAAACTCTCCAATTGGTTGGCACATGAGAACCACCATACCAGACATGATGGATATTGTCCTCCATTTCCTATGAGTAGCCACTCTGCTGTTGAAAAGGTCTGCCTCATAAAGTCGTCTCTCTCGACTATCCGAATCCCCTCATTATGCTAAACTGATCGAGTCACTTCTTCCGTGCAGATACTGTCAGACGAACGACATCTTCATGGAGGCGGATTGCCAGTAGACCGATGGTTAGGCATGAGGCTTCCTCCCGCTAGCCCATTCGACAACTTTCTCAAGGCGGCTGGGTGTTAACCAGAAGTACATAAATTATTGTCGATTCGCACAAAGACATCGATCGTTAGGATCCGTAGATAATCACTGTTAAATCGTTCGTAGCATTAGCTTAACTAACCTTTCATACATTCAGTAGCTAGGCTTACCTGAACTGTGCCACTCACTGTTCATGAGGCTTAGCTAGCTAGGCTTACCTGAGCAGTGTCTAGTAACAATCATAGATAGAGAGCTAAGTTTTAGTACTCATGCTGGTGAATGATACTCAGCCCCTCTTTGTGGCTTGTTCTTGTCATGTCTATCAACTTTCTAGCTTTGGCTTCTTGTTATGTAATGTCGTTCGAATTTGTGCTCTCTGATTCTCGATCTCGATGTCGAGTCGATAATCAACTTGTGGTGGGGTTGTCTCTTCAACACACCATCATGTTCTATCAAGATTCTTATCGAACCATTACGAACAAGTAGTCACTTCAACTGGTTGAACCCTTTGAAAACTGAAACTTATAAGGGTTTGATCTAAAGTTTTTTTAGATATAGAAGCAACAATTGGTGCTAGCGGATGCATCTTAAAAATCTTAGACATGACCGATGATCAATATATTTTTCAAGGTCAGATGAATTGGTCATGCTTGTCCAAGATGTGTTGTTTATGGCTGCATGTTGGATGTCCTGGTCATGCTTGTTCATGACGTGTTGACTATGACTGCACTCGACCCCTTTTTACTTGCTTTCATCTTAGACAGGCCTTTACTACTTAATATTGTGCTAATACGGGAGTGTGACTGTTCAGTAAAATCATATCTACACTCGTCAAGGCTAAAATGACTCAAAATGTACTATAGGGGATATGATTAGTTGTCATTTCCTACTTGGGTTATATGCTATTAAAGCCATTGTTGTTGCCTAATCGTTCTTAGCTTGTAACATTGTTTTCTTTCCAATTGTTTTCAATGTATTTCCTCGCTCACGTCTTCTAAAACATTTCTTTCAAATGTGACTCGAGACTCGTGTATACGCTGACGTTATTCGTAAAGTTCGAATTTCTAACAACCGACTTGTACATTTGGGTTAGAACAAGTGTCGTACTATTGCTATCTTGCTACTGCAAGAGTGTGATTGTGATACTACACATACGTGAAAATATACAAAAACTAATGGCCGTGGTTTACTCAAAGGGAACGAGAGCGAGAGTGAGAGATTAAAAACAATTCATTCCTTTTGATCGTTGTTGCTTACTAACTTTATCAAACAACGAAGAACGAGTATCGATTTGTCAGTTTTCCACCAAACGAACGATTATCGACTTGCTTCTCTATTTCTCTTTCGGAATTGTGTTGGGAAGAATGAAAAATTGTGTTATATACTACAAATCTTTTATCTTTCAAAGGATTCAAACTGATATGAAATTTTTTCCTAAAGAAGAGACCAATATCTGATAAATGAGAAGGAAACTTCTATATCTTAGTGGTAGCTAGCAGAACATTCTCGCCGTCCCCTAATTACTAGGCCAACCTGGTACGAGTGGTAAGGAGACTGTATTTTCGTTAGACCACACTCGTCGGCCTTCGATCGAGCTACGAGCACGAGCAGGTAGAAGCTAGGGGAGAGGGGCGGCTAGGATGCCTTTTCAATAATCTCAAGCCGACTCCTAATTACTAGACCAACTTAGTGCGAGTTATAAGGAGTCTTGGTCTCGAGGACCGAAACCATTAGTTTTTGTATTTTGATTCTACTAAAGAAAGTTGAACATGAACCAAGATGTTGCTGTCTACATCTTGTCAACACTAAACTTCTCCACTTCTGACTGATATGAAACCACATTCGCATCTCCAACATAGACAAGTAAAATTTTGATGGTTGTGAGTGTTTAGATCTACTTTGGCCCGTTACATATCGTTGTCAACCTTATGGTTTTAAAACGCGTCTGGTAGATAGAAGTTTCCGCACCTTTATAAGGAATGATTCGTTCTCATCTCCAACCGATGTGGGATCTCACAATTCACCCCCTTGGGGGCCTATTGTCCTCGTTGAAACACCGCTCAGTGCCTAACTCTGATACCATTTGTAACAGCCTAAGCTCACTACTAGTAGATATTGTCCACTTAGGCCTGTTACATATCGCCGTCAACCTCACCTTTTTAAAAGGCGTCTAGTAGGTAGAAGTTTCCATACCTTTATAAGAAATGATTCGTTGGAATCTTACAATCCACCCCTCGAGGGTGCAGCGTCCTCGCTAACACACTGTTCGGTGCCTAGCTTTGATACCGTTTGTAACAGCCCAACTTCACTTCTAGTAAATATTGTTCACTTTGACCCGTTACGTATCGCCATCAGCCTCATGGTTTTAAAACGCGTTTGGTAAGTAGAGATTCCCACACGTTTATAAAGAATGTTTCGTTTTCCTCTCTAATCGACGTGGGATCTCACAATCTACCCCATTAAGGCCCCTAACGTCCTTGTTGAAACACCGCTCGGTGCCTAGCTTTGGTACCATTTGTAACAACCCAAACTCACCACTAGCAGATATTGTCCGTTTTAGCCTGTTACGTTTCACCGTTGGACTCACAGTTTCAAAACGCGTCTACAAGGGAGATGTTTTCACACTCCTATAAAGAATGTTTCGTTCTCCTCTCCAACCGTTGTGGGATCTCACAATCCACCCCCCTTGGGGCTTAGCATCCTCGTTTGTACACCGCCTAGTGCCTGGCTCTGATACCATTTGTAACACTCCAACCTCACTGTTAGTAGATATTGTTCGTCTTAGCCCATTACGTTTCACCATCAGCCTTACGGTTTCAAAACACGTCTACTAGAGAGATGTTTCCACACACTTATAATGAATGTTTTGTTCTCCTCTCCAACCAATATGAGATCTCACAATCAACCCCTCTTGGGGCCCAGCGTCTTCACTGGCACACCGTTTGATGTTTGGCTCTCACACCATTTGTAACAGTCCAAACTCACTACTAATATATATTGTTCGCTTTGGCCCGTCATGTTTCGCCGTCAGCCTCACAGTTCTAAAACGCGTCTACTAGGGAGATTTTTCCATACCCTTATAAGGAATGTTTCATTCTCCTCTCCAACCGACGTGGTATCTCACAATCCACCCTCTTGGAAGCCCAACGTCCTCACTAGCACACCACCCAGTGTCTCATTCTGATACCATTTATAACAACTCAAGCTCACCACTAGTAGATATTGTCCGCTATGGTCTATTACGTTTCACCATCAGCCTCACAGCTTCAAAACACATCTACTAGGAAGATATTTCCACACCCTTATAACGTTCCCCTCTCCATCCAAGGTGAGATCTCACACATAACCTCCACGACTTTAAGCTAAGAACATATCCTTCATCATGCAACAAGAACTAAAAAATGCTCTTCAAACAACATCCGGTGAGCTCTCAGCTCACAGACAAGCCAAACCAAACAACAGACAGACAAACCAGCGAGCTGTGATCAAGTGAAAAACAAGTGGAAACCCTTCTCCATTCTTGTCTTGAAGAGAGAGAGAGATGTACAGTAAATAAAAGTAGAAAGAAACGAAAGATAGTAGGCAGTGAGTCAGCCAATGAGGCCATGAAAGCTGGAGGAATGTCATTTCAGACAAGGAGAGACAGAGCTATATGACCTCTACCAATACAGGCTACATCCTTAGCCTTGTCAAATCCCTCTGTCAACTGTTCTTTCAACTCTCTTTTCCTTCTTATATCAAAACTATTCTCTTTCAACACCTTGGAATAAATTATAGAATTTTGTCTACAACTTCCATTCTCAGCTAAGATATAACAAAGAAAAGTTTATATGTCATTCGTAAAGTTAACTAACTTGTAGCACAAGCAGAAGGGTACGTTAAAATGTAATGGTTTAAGCTTACCACTCGCAGATGTTGTCATTTTTAAACTTTCCGTTTCGAGCATTCTTTCAGAATTTTTAAAACGCGTATGCTAGGGAGAGGTTTTCATACTCTCCTTATAAAGAATGCTTCGTTCTCCTCCCAACCGATGTGAGATCCCCCAATCCACTCCCCCTTCGGGACCAGCGTCCTTGCTGGCACATCGCCTCGTGTCCACTTTTTCTTCGGGGTTCAACCTCCTTGATAGCACATCACCCGGTGTCTGGCTCTGATACCATTTGTAACGGCCCAAATCCACCGCTAGTAGATATTGTCTTCTTTGGGTTTTCCTTCGGACTTTCCCTCAAGGTTTTTAAAACGCGTTTACTAGAGAGAGGTTTTCACACCCTTATAAAGAATGTTTCATTCTCCTCCCCAACCGATGTGGGATCTCACAATTCTCTCCCCTTCGAGACCCAGCGTTCTTGCTGAGACTCATTCCCTTCTCAAATCGACGTGGAATCCTCCAATCCACCCCCCTTCAAAACTCAACGTCCTTGCTAGCACACTGCCTCATGTCCACCCTCTTTCGAGGTTCAGCCTCTTCGCTGGCACATCGCCCAATGTCTGCCTCTGATATCATTTGTAACAGCCTAAATCTACTACTAGCAGATATTATCCTCTTTGGGCTTTCCCGCAAAGTTTTTAAAACATGTCTGCTAGGGAGAGGTTTCCACACCATTAAAAATAATGTTTCATTCTCCTCCCCAACCGACGTGAGATCTCACAATTCTCTCCTCTTCAAGGCTCAACGTTCTTGCTGGAACTCATTCTCTTCTCAAATCGATGTGGAATCCCCCAATCCACTCCCTTTCGGGGCTCAGCGTTCTTCCTGGCACACCGCCTCGTGTCCACCCCTTTAGAGCTCAACCTCCTTGCTAGTGCATCACCCAGTATCTGGCTCTGATACCATTTGTAACTGTTAAAATCCACCACTAACACATATTATCCTCTCCGAGGTTCCCCTCAAAATTTTTAAAACGCGTCTGCTGGGAGAGGTTTCCACACTCTTATAAAGAACTTTTCATTCTCCTCCCTAACTGACGTGTGGAACGACCCTACAATCACTCCTTGTTTAGTTCAGAATCAGTATCATGGCAGAAATAGAAACCCCCCTTGAATTTAGCCTGCTGATAACAATATCTTTAGGATCATCATCATTGTAAAACAGCCTCTTTTCTTTTTTATAATCTAAACTTTCCTCTCACCTTGCAGCTTCCAAGGAGAAAGAAAGTTCATCTTCCAGGCTTTTGAGGAAATGGAAGAGTTTTACAGGCTCAACAGCTCTGTTATATCCGCATACACTAATGGAGTTGTTGCTAGTGAGGCCATTGCAAGCACTAGCTCTGGTGGAGTTCATGGAGCTCAAATGATGAACAATGAAATGATTCAGCTGGAAGCTGAGTCCACTACTGGCTTGAACATGTCTGAAATCATCAAAACTCAAATTGTCAA